GATAATAGCCCCTTTTATGTTATTGGCAGTGACAATAAGGCCAGAAATGTACAATTAGTGTAAAATCATAATGATGGCAATAATGTTGTTGTTTTTCTAATTGCCTGTAACATTTGTAATGTTTAGAATTCTTATATAATACCATATTTTCACTTGTTTCTATGTGCATCCTAATCACGACTCATTTATTAAACTATTATTATTATTTATTATCTTATTATGTAACTGTATTACACTTACTTAATTGCTTATTTACTTACAAGGAGAATTAGCTGTGCTGTTAGATTGTAAAATAAAACGAATAGAAGAAGGTGAACTACACACTAGTGTGTACAGAAAACCAACTCATTCTAATAGATACTTAGACTTTAATTCATCTCATCCGTTAACTGTTATGGCAGGCTTAGTTAAGTGTGTAACGAACCGAGCGGTAGCCCTAAGTAGCACAAGAAAAGACCTAAATGATGAAATTAAACAGATAGAGGAGGCGTAAAGGCCAAAAGCGAAATAAAAATAATTGTGGAACTAGTAGTGATAACATAAATAAAAGAGAATACAAGTCATCTACAGTTATACCACATAAAGAGGGGACATCTGAGGCCCTACATAGGATTCTCAATAAAGCAGGAATTAGAGTGATGACATTTAAACCTACAAACTCATTCATGTAGGACAAGCTCTGTAGGTTAAAAGATACAGTTCACCCAATTAAACAAAATAATTTAATTTACAAAATACCCTGCAATGACTGTGAGTTGAGTCAACTACATAAGTCAAACTAGTAGGTCGGGGATATTCAGATTGTCGGAACAATAAGAATTTAGCTAAGGTAAGAATGGTTGACCCCACCCGAGAAGATAAGTAATTTCGAAAAAATGCTCAGCACTACATCACATTGCACTGCATGCATTAACACACAACCACACAATAGGGTGGGTGGGAGAGGGATGAAATTCTAAAAAGTAATCTAGGTAAGTGGAGAGAGGGAGAGGTTGATTACTGAATCCTTGTTCATCGAGTGGTCTACACCCAACACATGCAATAGGAATGATTCATCACTCATACCCGAAATATGGAAAATACTACTGCCAATCAAGTCAAGCGTTGAAGAATAGTGGAACTATATAAATCAAGTTAAGAGGTCGTATAAGTACCTTGATATGATTATGAGTGGCAATAAATTGTTCTCGGAATGTGGTCATCAGTAAACATTACTGTATAACACAACACTGTGAGACTTTATCAAAACAAAAATTTACCCATAATGGAATTACAGTCTACCACAGTGCACAAGTTTTATTCTTGTATTACGCCTATTGAACTTCTTTTTATGTGTTAATGAACATTAATCACTATGTGTTTGTTTCAAGTATTGGTTTTGTAGGGAGTTTTGTTTGATTGGTTGAAGGATTTCATCCCACGTAGTTTTCCAACTGATCTTCTGCTCACTAGCGGTTGACCCTATTCAAGTAGGCAGTTACTTGGGGTTCTAGTGGAGAAACCCTAACCATTATGTTTAAGTTAGAATTCACGGACTGACTGGTTGGCTATTGGATCGAGTACCAATGGCTTAATGGTCTACGAGCTAGCTCTCCTTGTAACCAGAAGGTCTTGCTTTCAAATGTTGGCGGTGAGTGCGTACTGTCCTGAAGTGTCCTAAACTCGGATGAAAAAGCGCTCCAGTAGTCCAAGTTTGGTTTTTCAATGGTTTTGTAACTGGTGTCAGCTATTGATGAAGTCCTTCAACCAATCAAACTATTTCCGTCTACAAAGCAGCACCACTACCATCTTACTAGTCTTCACACACACACACACACATCCTAGTTACAATATGATTACTAATGACTCTTTCGAAATGTCTTTACAACAATAACGGACAAGTACAAACACTCAACTATACCTTACTTAGCTCGTGTTCTGTGCGATAAAGAAAGCATTAGGCGTGATACCTACAACTTATTAAATAGCCAGTAGAACAACTGGGTCTCGTCTTTCCAATTCATATCATCTATAGGTACGTTTTTCTTTCTTTTTTTTCCTTTTCTCTCTCCTTTTTCTGTTGTGTGCAGCTTTGTTTCTTTCTTCTGCTTACGCCAGCAAATATGGTAGCATCTACTTTTCTAACATCTTCAAAACACTGTTTAATTTTGGCTTTGCTACCGGCATATCAGTATGTTGTTGTCAAAACTAACTGAGATCACCCTTAATCTATGTAGAACTTTATTTATTGTTAATGTACTAACTGGATGCAATACTGTAGTGAAATGCTGAGAATTCCATTCTGTATCATAAGTACTGTTTTGGAATAAAGCAAATTATTATTATTATGACAAGCCTAATGTATATACAACGTATGGCCAAATGGTACAAAGGATGTCAGGTTTCGGCTTTTGTGTATGGCGGAGGCGCTGGCAGTTAGTATATATATATATATGATTGCGATTGTGAACAGCTAAATGTGAATGAATTCACCACCGAAAAGAGACTCTTACCCACTGAACTACGTGTTTTGTTTTCATTAATATCTGGATCGCGGCGGGGGCGGGTGGAGTTGTTTATGAATAATTGAAACTGTGTCACCATAGATTACAAATAGGAGAACATAAAAGTTCAAAGCAATTAGTTCCTTTTTATAAATGTGTACACAATCTGACCTGTATTGTAATGATTCACGCCTTCAAATCACTGAAAATAGCAACACTTCTTGAGCAACTTAATTGACACTTTTATTTTTTGATAACACAATTAGAAGACGAAGTTTATCTGAAATGTGTAATGCAATGTGTATTTGTGCAAAACATTTCGGAGATTCTGATCACACACACACACACATGAGTACTTGTCAAATACAGTTCTGTAGAAGGCAAGAAGGTATGTGTGCGTTGGTGGCACAGTCGTTAGGACTCTCGCCGACCATGCACATCGTCCAAGGTTCGAGCCCACGCCGACGCACACCTTATATCTATGGTCGGCCTGCAAAATTTGAGCTACCGACATCCACACTGAAAATTCCATACCTGTACCAAAAATATGGTGTGGAATCAAGCTGTAATCAAAAATAAAATAAATAAATAAAATTATAAAGAAAGTAGAAGATAAATTCAGCGAAGAAAAGGCTTCTTTATCGACGAAATCATCTTCAGAGGCTGTACAATCACAAAAGCCTGAAAGAACCCAGACGAAAGCTCTGCAACTAAACCAACCAGCTTGGTGAACACTACTAATTGCAAATCATCCATTGATATAAGTATAAAACGTGGGCACTGTGGTGGTAGAGTATAACTCCACTATGGATCAGATCTCATTTTGATAAATCATACAGTATTGTACAGTAATATTAACTGATGACCACGTTTCGAGCACAAATTATTGCCACACAAAATGCTCGGAATGTGATTCGATATACAATTGGACAAACATAACAAGCTAGTAATCAAAATCAGAAGAAATGAACACCGTGGAGCCGATTCTGTTCGACCACCGAGAAATCCAGTTAATGAATTAGAAAAGCTTAAAAAATCATCAACCATAGATCTATCTACACACTATGGAATCAGGCCACAAAATTGATCTTGACAATATTGAAATCATCATCCAGTAAAAGCATTTCAGAAATCACAAAGAACGTCTAATATCATCTGACGCTCTTCATATCAAGTGGAATCGAAATTTTGCTGAGCAGGAATGATGGACTAAGATAGAATTAGACCTGATTACAACACCATCCCCGCTACCTCCGCTGAAATGACAAAATCAACACGAATGTGATGAGCAATTTCATGATGTAAACACATGCTGCTTTTATAATTTTATACACTCATCAAATGCAACAATCTACACTTGGTTGGTTTTGTTATCTTTACCGAGATTTAGATATGATAGAGAAGATTCATAGCTCAGGTGGATGATTTTGATGTGATTGTGTTCTCTGAGCGCTGAAGATGTCGCCTAGTTGAGCGATGAAAGCTTTGCAAATTAACTATCCAACTCAGAGAACACAACCACATCAAAATTATCTTGACCAAATTTACCAATCTAACTTGTCAACGCCAAAATGCCCCCATGTTGAAGAACGATGATTAAGTTATTAATATATAAGCTGAGGAGATTTATTAAATTCTCGTTTAATAATACAAATTTGATAAAGCTATTAGCAGCAGCATTAAATAGCGAAACGTCCATATCCTCTTATGGAGACGTTATGAAATGTTTTACAAATATAGGTTTCCAGACTGTAGGTGTTACGAACTTCCTGGAATAATCTGAGCGCCGAGTCAGGTTGATTCATTATAAATCATTTAAATTAATCTCAGATTTATTCAGATTTTTATCATACATTATGAATAATAAAACTCCGAATAAATCTGCTGAAGAAGCTGTGGCCTACACAGCGAAACGTTCGGAAAAATCTTGTTTTGATTTTCTTAACACCCTGGGATTATTTTCAATACTTTATAATGTTTTACAACTTTTTACCCACCCACACACACACACATATATACACACTGTTTAATGTGTTTAACAAAGGTAGATCAATATTTGTAAGTCCGAGGTCAAATTTTGATCACAGCTCATTCAAATTTTGTTTATTATACTTGTTAATACTTGTTTTATGACTCATGATTGGAGAAAGTTTTTAAAAACAAGAGATGTCTCACTTTTCCGCATATAAACCTCTGTTAGGTTAATTTCAATTAATTTCCCTGAAGAAGTTCTCGTCACCAGATTGTCGAACGTAGGAAACGTTGGAATTACTCATTTCAATCTCGCTGAGAGATTTTACAAATAGGATAATTTTTTACAAGTAGCAATATCGTTTCGTTTTTCATTCATTCACTGGGAAATGCAAAAAGAACCTTTATTACAGCCAAGAAATGTCACAGAAAAGAACTATTCCAAGGTATGTTTGGTAATACTATTACTATACTACAACAACAACTACTACTATTAATAATAATAATAATAGTAATAATTCATAATAATAATAATAAAGGTCTTACCATTATTTTTACTAATTATTTCACTAGAATTTTTTATATTCTCTCCTCTAATATTTTCATCATTCCAATTGTAAATTTTCTCAGAATTCTTCAATTTTTGTTCACTTTTTTCCAAACTGCTATTCATATCATTGATTAGCACATCATGATTTAATTTCTCTGTAAATTGATGACTACCACTCCGATAGCCAGTGTGATTAGTATTTAAGACATTGTCGTTATCATTATTATTGCTATGACTATTTGTATCGCTATCATTACTGTGAATAGTGCTGTACGGATCAATATTATTGATTTGTTTGTATTTCTCAATAAGATCATGTTGTGTAAGTGTGGTATACACTGATCTGCCTATCTGATCATAATATGAAGGACATTCAATGGCTTCTGCTGTTGTTGTTGTTGTTGTGATGGCTGTTTCCGGAGATGATGACTTTATCCAAGAACATTCATCACTCTTATCATTAGTATTATTATTATTATTGAGTCGAGACACGTCATAGCTTGACCAACTCGATGCATCCTTCATTATAGTACTCAATGTTACCATTTGTTGTGTTGATGACTGAGTACTTGTCATTATTTTACCGATTATTTTATTATTATTATTATTATCGAAAGTGAGAAAAAACGAAAATTATTCAACAGGATAAAATGTTAATATAGCAGTTGAAGACACCGAAGAATAACTGTGTAGTAGACAAGACAGGGATGAAGATGAACTCGGTGTCAGTGGAGTAAAAGAACAATCTTTGAGTTAATGATAACAATAATAATTCCCACTTGTATTATTATTACTAGTAGTATTTACTCCCAACTCAACGAGAATAGTATATCTCATGTGTAAATGGGATAAAAGTAACCAATGTGTATGTTTGTGTGTACATGTGTGCATATGTGTGTGTGTGTGTGTGAGTGAATATATCTAAATGTCAGTAGATGAATATTTTGGTTTTTACCAATGAATTCGTCAAAAAAAAAACAGAAATGATATATACACATATATCTACCACATAAAAGGCATAAAAGTCAAGGTAGGATAGACTTCATAAACGCGTGTATTTGCATGTATGTGTGTTGCTGTTATTTTAAATTGGGCGAAAATAGGCGCGCGCGCGCACGCGGATTATCTGAATACACGAATATGCATCTAAATGCATAGATATGCATATAACTACACAATTTTCTGATTATAGGGTTTCAACAAAAAATAATAAAATATTCTTTCCAAACTGTTTTTATCAGTTTCACATTCTGACTAATATTTTAAAAAAAGGAGGGATACGTGAGTGTTTGTGTATGTGTGTGAACGTGTATGTGTGCGTGTGTGTGTTAGAATCCAACTTTCTCGCAAAGGAATTTTTAGGTTAACGGGGGTGGTGGTGATAGAATTTCCCCCTAGCCTGTTTCATTATCTTCTTTCCTATTGGTTGATTGACTTGGGAGTTAGGCCAATCAGAATTAGCGGAGGATGGAGGGGGGGAGAATTTCGCTTCTAGCTTGTAATAGTAATTATGATAACAACTAACTTCCCTTCCCTACTTTCATCTACAACATATAAAAATACTCTCATTTCTTCCAAAAATAGAATATATTCGTTTTTATTTTTCTGGTCACATTTGCTTTGGTAACAGGTATACGTCCGTCCATACATTATGTTATTTATCTATGAATAGGATTGGGGAATAATGTTATGCCAATAGACCAATCAGATATAAGTATATTTTTTCGATCGAATATTTTTTTTAGACTTGGTTTGGTTTATAAGGATTTTAACTTGTCATTGACAGTTTGTTCGAATACGGATTGGAGTCATTTATAGAACTATAAGAAAATAATTCACCGCTAATAAACAGCTATATTTTGTCCCAGTTTGGAGGGACTCTGCAGAAGTGCACGGATTCGAAGCTAGAATGTTCCAATTACAAAGGTAAGCTCATAGATGACTGACCATTCAGCCAGTGTGGATTTGGTCGCGCTAAAATCACAAATTGATAGAATTTGGAATTCGTAGACTAGCCACTGGATAGAGTTCCAGTCACTGAATGTTCCATGAGCTTGCGTGGGGGTGAGGAGAGTACTGCTGAAGAGTGGCGAACCAGAACGAAACAGCTGGCTCTCTAATACTGCTTGTTGGTTACCAGTGGTTCTCTAGTTGCTATCAATCCGTGATCAGAGATGAATGTATTTGTTCATCGTCTCATAGGTAATAATTTGAAGTTTCTTTTGTAACGAAATTTTAAACAATCAAAAATCTCAGAATTTGATTGATGGTTGGTGACTAGCAGTGGAAACCATGACAACCAGCATTCCATCTTATTTGGGATGATGTTCCCACCACGACTTAAACCCAGTGCCCATAGTTTCAAACGCCGAAGTGTTATCCTCAAGACCACTTGGGCCACGTGTAAAATTCAGTTAAATAATTTATATGATCTGTTGCACAAGAGGTGGTGGCTCTCGTGGCCAAAGTGGTCTAGTAGATAATGCTTTGGCGTTTCAAACTATGGGCATTGGGTTTCAGCCTCTGTGGGAACACCATCAATGACTCACTGGGGAATACAGGTACATCCAGTAGGTGACGAGTTCCAAATAGGACGACATGCGCGTTTTCCTGAATTCCACTGCTAGTCACCATCAACCAACCTACTTCTCATTACATGCCCAGACATCGTCGAAGCATGTGCGCACAAGAAGCCGATATGTAAACCTGAGACCGAGCAATTCGATCCAATCAATCGATGGGAAAATCTAAAATTCAATTCAATCAAAAATATCAATTAGGAATAAATTTCACGTCTAATGCAAAGAAAAACGACATGCACTACTGATTATTTGGCTGAAATGTTTAGTACTTACCAACCGCGAAGCCAGGTAATCTAAGTGATCTAAACACTGGTGGACGGTGATTTCTCTCGTTTGGGAGTCGAGCTTATCAATGGTATAGGCAGTTTCACGGCTTAACCCCGAGAGAGCAAATCAGTTGAAACTGTCTCGACTTCTGGTCAGCTAATAGAGCGAACTAGTTACCTCATAGACCGAATCCCCAGGTTTTAAATTAACTTAATACTTATATGGTTCAAGAAGGGGAAATTTCATCACTGTTCCCAATGGAAACGCAAATAATTCGCATCATTGGATGGAATATTTCATCTTCAGCTGAAATCGGTGAGAGAACCACTGGAAAACACGGGAGTACTGGACAGCTGTTTCCTCGTCCTCGTTTGGGACTCTTCATCAGTACGCACCCACCGGGGTTCGAGCTCAGGACCTTCTGGTTACAAGATGAGGCAGTAACTTATCGAGGAAGACATTGTGAAATGCTCACGCTATGTCGTGAATTGGCAGAAATTCGAATTCATGAATTGGCCGTTGGATCGGGTTGCAGTGGCTCAATGGTCTACGAGCTAGACAGCAGGTCGTGGGTTCGAGCCCCGGTGGATGCGTACATATGAAGAGTCTCAAACTAGGGCGAAACGGCTGTCTGGCAGTACTCCCACATTTTCCAGTGGTTCTCTAACTGATGTCAGCTCATGATGAGATCCTCTTCTAACCAATCAAACAAAATCCCTACAAAACCATCACATAAAAATATCTATGATCTGCTGGTTACTATGACTGATAATCAAGAATACTTTGGCTGGACACCAGTCAGGCATCTCGTCCTTTATTTGGTGCTGACTGAATTCTATCAGTCAATTTTACAACGTGGTCACCATGCTGGCTGACTAGTTATCATGGTGAAACGGTAGAAGACGAAAGACTTGGTTAAGGAGTGTTTGTTTGGAAATTGGTATCTCTATATAGCCATCGCGCGTCATGCCATCATTGCTCGAGTGGAAACCGAAAGGTAAGTGGCGAGTTGGTCGTCCAAGGGTGACTTAGAGGCGATCATGTGAAGAGGAGTTGAAACAGTATGGACTAACATGGATGCAGGTGGTAAGTACAGTAATTATATAGCCAAATTATGTTCACCTTTTCTTCAACGCACGCATTTGCACAGATCTTCCGTGTTATGGTAATTCTGGGCTCCCTAAAGTGTTTCTTTGTGTTCCTTTCACGTCTCCCCTGTGTATCTCCACAACTCTGTGTCATTTGCCTTTTCTGACATCAAATGTGTCTCCCTGCTATGAGATGGTATTTTTTATGCTGATGAGCATCTATTTTTATACTACTGATAAATCTTATCAGTAGTACTCGCCACAATGGTACACTCTGAATTATTGTTACTAGATGGTTGGGAGGGCGATTTGCAGGAAGCCCTCTCTCGAACTATGTTTCGTGCTAGTTGGCTTTCACTAGCCAACAAAGGATGTATCTCTTCTGAGATTTGGAACCTCTAAGTCACTCAGTTAGAAACTAGTATCCTGTGTCTAGTCGTTTGCTTTTGTTGCAGACAAGAAAGCGAGGATATATTTGCATAAAACTATATATATATTACTGATTAGCTGATTTGAGTAGTACCCAACAACTAAATACCACGGGCTCGTTTGGGGATTGGAGCTCACCGTAAATGTAGGCGGTTTGACAACTTAGCTGATGGGAGAGTCGAATCAGTTCAGGCGGCCCCAATTTTCGGCTAGCTACTTGATTGGGCTGGTAACCCCATTTAGAGGAGGTGAAGTTTCACCACAGTTTATTCTGGAAACCCAAATTATTCATGAACACATATATGAACAAGGAGAATTAGTTACGGTGTTAGATTGTATAATAAAACGACTAGAAAAAGGTAAACTGCACATTAGCGTTTATAAAAAGCCAACACTTTAATTCATCTCATCCGTTACCTGTCTGTGAAGGCAGGCTTAGTTAAGTGTCTAACAAACCGAGCAGGAGTACTAAGTAGCACAAGAAAAGACCTAAATGACGAAATAAAACAGACAAACGAAGAGGCGTTGGTATCAAATAACTAACTATCCTTTAAAATTCATTAGGAAGACCAGTAAAGGCCAAAAACAAAATAAAAATAATTATGGAACTAGTAATGATAACATAAATAAGAGAGAATATAAGTCATCTACAGTTATACCATATTAGGAGGGGACATCTGAGACCCGTAGTAGGATTCTCAATAAAGCAGGAATTCGGGTGGCAATCAAATCTACAAACTCACTCAAATAAGACAAACTCTGTAGGTTAAAGGAATCAGTGGACCAAATTACACGAAATAATATCATTTAGAAAACATCCTGCAATGACTGTGAGTTGAGTCGACTACATAGGCCAAACTAGTAGATCCGGAGTAGTCCGATTATCAGAACATAAGAATTTAGTTAAGTTAAGAATGGTTGACCCCGCGAAGATAAGTAATTTAGAAAAGAAGCTCAGCACTACATCGCGCTACACTGCATGCATTAACGCGCAACCACACAATAGGGTGCTGTGAGAGGGTTAAAATTCTAAGATGTAATATGGGTAGGTAGGTAGCGAGAGATTGATTACTGAATCCTTGTTCATCGAGTGGTCTACACCAAACACATGCAATAGGAATGACTCGTCACTCATACCTGAAATATGGAAAATACTACTGCCAATCGAATCAAGTGAAAAACAATGGAACTATATAAATGAAGTTAGGAAGTCGTGTGATTACCTTGATATGATTATGAGTGGCAATAAATTGTGCTCGGAACGTCGTCATCAGTAAACATTACTGCAATAACACTGTGAGACTTTATCAAAACAAAAATTTACTCATAATGAAATTAAATTATTCAGGTCTAAATATACGTGATCTACTGCATACTATGAAGGATAATCAAGAGTGCAAGCATTAATGCATGAAACAATATACTACTGATATAGTTTAAGATTAGTAGTTGTATACCACTTAAAACTTGACCTGTTAGAAACCTCCATCGTTTATATTT